CTGACGGTCTCTTCGGGCGATACTTTTGAAATGACCACTTTGCTTTATTTAAAAAAAAAAACAACCCACAAAGAACGCTACATAATTATCTTTACAAAAAATAACAGGCGGGAAAAGGAAGGTTGAATAAAAGGAAAAGAACGGAAAGAAACTCGACTGCAGGTGTATTGGAAATGTATACAGGAAAGAGGGAAAGCAAATATGTAACGTAATTGTTACAGAGGGTAGGGAGGCTAGCGTGTTTTAAGAGTGACAGTGGGGTTTTAAGTGAGATTTTTTTAACAGGCTTCATATTCACTTAATATTTTTTTTATGTGAGGGCAAGGGCTTAAAATTTCGGATTTTGTTTTTAAAAGATTCTTTGGATCCGGGAATGTCATAATTGCTAGTTGACATAGTTTGAAAATGCGGGTATATATATATATATATAAATATATATATGTATGTAGATATATATATATATATATTATGATAAATGTGCAATCAATTTACAAATACATGAATTATTCACACAAAAACTAATGCAAAGGTTAATGATTTAAATGGCGAGACATCCATCATCGCAAACAATTCAAATAATATACAAAAACCTCCGTATCCGTTATGAATGAAATGATCCTTGTTTATATAAATTTCTGCCGTATTAGTTCTTATTTTTACTACAAGCTTTCGTCTGTTCCTACAGACATCTTCAGGTATAGAATAGATGTTTTTTCTTGTTTTTTCTCTTAGTAATGAGAGGACAACGAAAATATATGTATTGTTGTATCCGAAAATGCTATTGAAAATGAGTTACTGTTTTTGGAGCGCGCAAAAGCAACGCTGAGTTTGATTTTAAATTTTTAACCGTTGTGCGTTCATACTAAGAGAAAAAACAAGAACAACATCTATTCTATACCTGAAGATGTCTGTAGGAACAGACGAAAGTTTGTATAAAAAATAAGAACTAAAACGGCAGAAATTTATATAAACAAGGATCATTTCATTCATAACGGATACGGAGGTTTTGTATATTATTTGAATTGTTTGCGATGATGGATGTCTCGCCATTTAAATCATTAACCTTTGCATTAGCTTTTGTGTAATAATTCATATATATATATATATATATATATATATATATATATATATGATTACAATGATGTTCACACTGTACAAGGCCCAAGAGAACAAATTGAAACCCAATCCTAAACAGGAAACAAGGGATAAATCACCACTCCTGTTCGATAGATCAGGGAGGACTGTGAAGCGGGCGATAGAGAAAAGCGTAAATACATAGTAAATAAATGTTCATAAGGTAAGATATATAGAGATGAAGTAGAATCAGGAAAGCCAATCATAAGCAGGAATCAAAGTATAAAATTCTACTCCTTTTCAAAAGATTGGAGAGGAGACTGAACCGTGCGATAGGCACGTCTATCTTTTCCTGTTGATGAAAAAATTTAAATACATAGTAAATAAAAATTCGATGTTTTAGATTAGATGTATAGAGTTGAAGTAGACTTTAGAAGAATCCTGACAGCCAATCATAAACAGGAAACAAGGGATAAAACTCCAATCTTGTTCCAAAGAACGGGGAGGATTACACACAAAGACACACACATACATGCATATATATATATATATATATATATATATATATATATATATATATATATATATATATATATATATATATATTAAGTTCTAAATGAGTAATTGCATCACTTGTATATAAATTAATTCTATCACATGTATATCGTTGCTTGAACCGGCTTCTAATGCTCTGGTTGGAGCGCCTTGGGGATAGTAGCCGTGACTTGTGGAGATACAGTCTTATGGGTAAGGGAAACTCGGATGAGTTCCACCATGAAATATGTGATCGAGCGGCGCTATATCGAATCTAATTGGCTACCTTTTCGTCACCGAGGCCCGTTGGTACAGTTGGTATGGCGTTCGACTGATACCGTAATTGTCCGGGTTTCAATTCTCGGTAGTGGATGCGACCCAAATATAGGTCAAAACGGCCGTTCAGAGCTTTCGCAGGCACACACATGCATATATATATATATATATATATATATTTTAATTTTCCCATTGAAAATAGTTCCACCTAAGATTCTCTCTGGCTGAAAGCTGACAGCGAAACATTAGTGCGATCGCAGAAGTGGTATTTACTTGACACCCACGGGGTCAGGATGTGACACAAGGCCATTTAACGTGGGAGACCCGAGTGTTTCCACTGTAGCCACTGGTCAAAAACTGGTCATAGCATGTCCAAGCTGGTCAGAGCTTAGTCAAAGCTGGTCATGGCTTGTCTTAGCTAGTCCAGACCGAAGCCGGTCATAACTAGTCGTAACCGTGATCGAATCTCAGCCAAAGGCCGAGAAACGATCGCAGAAGTACCAACTGAAAACGAAATCTTATCATTGGTTCATTCCTGTCTATCAGGTCGCTATAGCACAAAGGAGTCACTCTTTTCGTCTATAGAAATGTCTAAGCGCGGATCATAAGAGACACCTCTTTGTATCTGCTTGTAATAAGTGTAAGTGACATCAACGAGGCTAAGTTACTGATGGCTGATAGAATGAGACACCATATAGCTACTAATTAACTTGTTTTTGTGATTACTTGCGGCTCTGTTAGAATGTGTTAAAAATGTGTAAATCTTCAATCTATACTCCTCTTCAACCAGTTTGAAGTATTGTCATTTATTGCTGATAAATGCTTTGCTTGTAAATACTCTTCCAACTCAACGCTCGACTCATCAGGAGTAACTTTGTGTGATTTACCACCGAGAACGGAATCTCCACTGAAAGATATACAGGGTGGTGTGGATTAATTATCGTTGAAATATAAAAATAACACGGATATTTAATTTTGATAGATATGCTAACTAAAATTACATACAATATCTTGAAATAATAAAGAGTACCTTTATTCAATAAAATCACCATTAACTTCAATCACGACCTCCAGACGACTTCAGAATCTCTTGCAACTCTTTTGGGCGGTCTGATTAAGTTAGGGAAATCTGCTAGAATCCTTGTCTTCAGTTCATCTTTGGTGTTATAAAGAGTTTTGCTGGTTTTTCGCTCAACTGCGCCCCACACATAATAGTCTAGGGAGCTGCAGTTGATCAAAAGTAAGGGGTGATGAGGAAGCAGAAATTGTGTGACAGCCATGACTGGGTTCTCCTGCCTGTGTGGCATGGTGCAAAGTCCTGTTGCCAGACGTCATCCAGCGCTCACAATCATGAACTAGGGCAGCACGACGCCCTCAAGCCACTTGATGTAGGTCTCCGCGTCGAGTTTGAGGCACTGTGGGAAGGTGAATGAAAGTATAACTTCGCCCTCACGAGTGACCACTCCAAACACCATAGTATTGACTGGATATATCATCCAACTCTTTCCGAATCTTCTGGTCTCTCTTCAGATTGACAACCAAACACTCAAAATGGTAATTTTGGAGCTACCGAACCGAATGCCGACCAGTACAGCATGTTGTTTCAAATTTCTGGCGGTGCCAATTGCGTCATGGTGCTCTTTTTCTCACGGACGGTGTCCAACTGACTCTACTGTGTAGTCGACCACATCAAAAACAAACAATGTGCATACAGGAAATTAAAAATATAAAATGGCGGCAATTTAGCCGTCGTACCCTGTACATATAACTCCATCCATCGTTTTACCTAGATCTCCACAAGGTTGCAGACTTGTGGCAATCCCTGCGGTTGTCACAAGTAAATGTGCGCCTTAACAGGTTGCTGTTCTCTCCAATCTCGACACGTTTGCTAGAAATGCTCTTCTGTAGTACATGACTTTAAGAACTCTGGTCAACCTTCTGATCCCAAGACTTACCGTTATTTTACTTTTTTCTGGCAAAGTACTCAAATTCGTTAAGCATCTGACATTTTACGGCCTTCTTTCAGATACACGATATGGATTTCCCATCTCTAGATCAACTGCCAATGTGTTATTGGTCATTACTGAATTTGTATATGAAGGTTTATTTAGATTGTTTATTTAACGTTTTCCGCTGATATGAGGTGGAAAGATTATATTAAATCAATTGCTAAGTCAACAGATATGAAAGTTGGTTAACTGCCTCGTGCGAGACAATTTTACTCTCCAGAAACTATCTTACATACATAAGTCTAACATTTATCTTTGCTTTGAATACTGCTGTCACATCTGACCTGGTGCACCTGCTATATATTTAGTCATTCTTGATAAAATCCAAAAAAGAATCTGCAATTTTATTGGCCCTACATTGCATCTGGGCTTCAATCCCTTTTCCATCGCCACAACGCAGCTTCCCTGTGTCTTTTCTATAAATATTTTCATGGTAATTTTTCTGATGAACTTCTCTTGTATGGTAGCTAGATTTTATGAATTTAACCGCAGTACAAAATTGGGGGAAGCTGTCTGCATTTTACAGTTGAAACTTTTAGTTGTGACCGTAAGTTCTATGCTAACAGTTTCTTCAAGCGCACTTCTTGCTTGTGGACATTTCTTCCGGCTTCTTACTTTCCAGTCAGCTTTGATTTTGAAAAATTTAAATGCAATAATAATCGTTATCTTCTGGCTTCTTAATCCTTGTTCTTTTATTGTTTTTTTCTCCTTGATAGTATATTTTTCTCATATTCTCCAACATTCAGTAACCCCTTGTGCCTTAGTGGTTTTATCGCCTTGCATGGGGTGAAATGATTAAAAAAAATAAAAAAAAGGAAGCTCGAGGATTGGCCTCTGATTGATTCGTTTTCTGCGGCTTATCAACCATTTGCTGACTTTTTTAAGCCAGTAAATATCTGTAGATTGCAAGAAATTTTTTTGACAGTTAATAATTATTTAGAGATACAGATTTTACTAATTAACCCATAGCTGGGAGAAGAAGAAGAGGTGGGTTCATACATTTCCCAAGGATGTTTACTCGTACGTGGATATAACAAACCCAATTAAAATTAGAACTTGGCTCTCTGATCAACAATTACGCGTCATTACACCATCCGTATATCAAAGCTTACAGCACCTGGTATTCCAAAGCGGCCACCGTTCTAGGTACTGACCAGGCTCGACGTTGCTTAACTGATCGTATGAGAACCGGTGTTTCAACAGGCGTTTCAACGTGATGTTTTGGCGTAGCATTTCTGGTAGTTATATTTTGATCCATCTTTCTTGTTAATGCGTATCGTATTGAGCTTCCTTCGTTCATATAATGCGAGTAGACCCCATCCTTGAACTTGCGTTGATTTTTTTATCTTCAACGGCATTTCTGATGCCATTAGTCCCCAATTCGGTATTTATGCGGACAAAATTACGGTGTGGCGCAGATAAATCGGGAATTTTTACTTGGCAACAGCACCGTGACGTTACAGTGTTTTAAGAACGTCATTAGAAAATAGCACATCTGAGTATCTATCTAGCCATTGACGCACGAGGTGCTTAGTAATCGACATGTCTTTAGAACACGATCATCGATCTGCCGTTGCAGAGAGCCTAGGGGCCGGCCACAAAGCCAAGGATATCATTGGATGGTTTTAAATAATCATGGTATACAAGGAAATACGAGAAAAATTGACTCGCTCGAGACAGTTAACCAAATTTCCTATCTGATAACTTTTCAGTTGATTCAATATATTCTCTCCACCTCATATCAGCGGAAAACATAAAATAAACGATCTAAATTTTCCTTGGTATACAAATTCATAAATAACCAATAACACACTGACAGTTAATGTAGAAATACAAAAGACATATTGTTTATCTGAAAAAAAAAGGCCGTAAAATCAGATGCTTAACCAGTTCGGAGTCGATTTCAATCTCTTGTACTTTGGCAGAAAGTGTTAAAATAACGATTATTCACGGGATTAGAAGGGTGACCAGATTTCTTAAAGTCAAGTACTAAAGAAGAACATTTCCAACAAACAGGAAATCAAGCATATTTACATAAGGCAAACGCAGGGATTCCATCAAACCCGCATAACTTGTGTGAACCTAGCTAAAACTATGGACGCAGTTATATATATATATATATATATATATATATATATATATATACACACACACACACACACACATATATATATATATTTTTTCCCTTTACTTTATTTCCTTTCCTCACTATTCCTACATATCACTTCCGTTTTATTTAACCATATAAATAGGTCAAGGTTAGGTCACTCCTCCTACCCCAATATAAAGCTTATTTAGAGAGATGTAAATTTAACCTCCCTAAATCTTTGTATTGTCTCTCTAACTGCCACTCTCACCCTCCCTGTTTAATTACAAAAATTACACTACCCATCAATTTCTAATCACATTTTCCCTCTCATTTCGTTGTTGGAATTGTTACCTGATGATCCGAAATCCTTTAAAAAGGATTTTGGTGAAATGAATTATTGTGATGGTACCTTAAAGTGGTCTGTTTTCATTAAAAATATATATATATATATATATATATATATATATATATATATATATATATATATATATATATATAAAAAAGGAGATAAGCTGCAAACTTTTCTAGTTGAAATGTGGATTGCTTATTTTAAAATATATATTATACTCTAATTTCCATAATTCTGCAAAACGTATTTCTGGATTCCCGACCTTCAAACAAATCTTCTTTTTCTTCCTTTTAAAATATACAATTTTCTCTCGTTGGGACAACTATAACCTCTTTCATATATATATATATATATATATATATATATATGTTTGTGTGTGTGTGTGTGTGAGTGTGGATTTAATGGTCATTAAAATTAAAATTTGAAGAATAAAAAGCCAAAAAAATGATACAATATTGACAATAAGATTGATGATATTCATTATAAATTAGACTTTTAACTCCTCTGAAGCACGAAGAGAAAGATTTAATGTCGGAATGTATGGTGTTTCAGAAATTCATGTATATATATATATGTGTGTGTATGTGTGTGTGTGTCTGTGTACGCGCGTGTGTGTGCGTCTGTACGTATGTTGGACTGAATTGAACAATGTGTCTATTTTTAAACTAATTTTTTTCTTCATTGAGAGTTTGAAAAGAATTGTAGATTTCAGCACGATAACCACATGCAACACAACGAGATATCTCGCGAAATATTTTATGTATAAATGCTTCAATATCCTAAAATTTCTCTTAACCCGAAACCCATTCCTAATTTACGGCGAAGCTTCATAGCTGACTTTATCTGAGTGGCTGCATTGAAAGTCCTTTGCTAGAAAGTGTTGGCTACGTTTTCGAAAGAACGTTCCATTTTTCGTGACATGTCTCTTAGAACAGTCAAAGCGCACCAAACAAGATAATTTAAGAAGAACTGGAATATGACGTGCTAATAGAACTCTTCGCCGTGAACTGTTCAGGAATAATTTAAAATCCAGTACCTTACAAAAAATACATTTTTGTAAACAAAAAAAAAAAAAAAAAGAATTCCTTCATGAGAATTTTGAGCAGCCTAATAATTTTTGGAAGATTGTCTTTGCTTGAAAGAAGCGAACATTGAACTTGTTAGCCACAATCTTGCTCGACATGTCTGAAGGAAAGATAGATGTGCCTATGATTGACGCGACAGCAGTCTCCAGAGTATGGAAGTGGATTTAACATGCTTTGTAGGGTCTTTATCTTTCATTAGCACGGAGACAGATCACACGATTGAAGGATCCCGAAAGGAATGATGTACGGGCGTAATTTGGAAACTAATTTCTTCTGTTCATTGAAACAATTGAAGCTTAAAGCGACATGAATGTTTCAACAAGATAATGACCCGAATCATGAAGCTGAAGTAATTGGCGAATGGAATGTTCAGTACAATGGAGCAGTGTTTCTATGACCTTGTCTATCTCCCGAGTTGAATCCAATTGAAAATTTATGGTGCTGTCTGAAAGATTAAATTAAATTTCCCAGTAGGACTACGGAGGCTTAAACGATTTGAAGGTCGCTCGCAACGAAAGCTGGGTAGAGATTTCAAATGAATGCTAAGTGAAGGGTTACGAAGAAAGTCTCTTAGAAGTAATCAAGGCTTTGCAAGTGAGAATTAAATTATGAAATATATGTGTCTGAATATTTGTTAATTTTGTTTATATGTTTATTCTGCATTGTGTTTTTAGTAGTAATTATTAAATTGATTATTAAATACGTGATTTCAAAATAAACCCAAAACACGAAAATATATTAAATAGATATTTAGAATTCATTCCAAAACTTATTTCTATTTGCTGTGACTGATTAAAGGGTTAATACGGTGGAGTAATGGATAGCGGCTCGGATTGAGGAATCGGAGAGCCAAGTTCGAATCCCAGTCAAATCCATTACATTCACTTACGCGCTAATACCTTTGAGAAAGGTATGAATCCTCTTCATCTCCCCTCCCAGCTATTGGTAAATAGCAGAACAGATCGGGTTCTATAGCCTTGGATGGCAACTGGTCTACCGCAGAAAGAACCCAAAACACGAAAATATATTAAATAGATATTTAGAATTCATTCCAAAACTTATTTCTATTTGCTGTGACTGATTAAAGGGTTAATACGGTGGAGTAATGGATAGCGGCTCGGATTGAGGAATCGGAGAGCCAAGTTCGAATCCCAGTCAAATCCATTACATTCACTTACGCGCTAATACCTTTGAGAAAGGTATGAATCCTCTTCATCTCCCCTCCCAGCTATTGGTAAATAGCAGAACAGATCGGGTTCTATAGCCTTGGATGGCAACTGGTCTACCGCAGAAAGAAATGGCGAGAAAAAACGAGAAAAAAATCTGCCTCGTCAGATACATGATCGCCTAAGAGTGTATCTGTCATGGTGATCTACATGAGAATGAACTCTTCTTCCTTCATAAATACCAACCTGCAAGACTTCCTAAAGAGACAGTCGAGACACAGTATAACCTGACAGTTTGGGCGGACACTTCTATATACTGACTAATAACACTATTACTTTATATATATATATATATATATATATATATCTGCTATTTCAATACACTTGTTCAACCTAGCTTTCTCTTTCTGTGTCTTTCTTTCTGGCCACAAACAGGTCACAACAGTATCACGCATGGCCCATAACTGAGTTCAAACCAATGAAGAATCTAGGAACTCGAATGAGGATTTTCAAATTTTATAGTATAGGCGCAAAATCTTCTTGACATTTGCGTAGTAAATTTGAAACTTCTTTATTTGTTTTTAATCGTTAATACCAAATCAAGGCGATAATCCCACCTAAAGGCATGGGTTTAAAGGGTGTGAAATTTAAACAGAATGAGAAGAACGAAGATTGAAGAAGAGACGAAAAAGGAATAGACTACAAGAAGACAAACGATTGCGATTGAAATTGTATTTAAATTTAATTGCAATTTAAATTTTTGAAGATTTTAATTATCAAGGGAGCAAGATATCGGAAGGGTGGGAAGTAAAGCAGTGTGACCTAGTTGCCAATCTATTACCATGCTTCAATTAATGTACACGGGTCACCAGGGCCAAAAACCTATCAGAACAGTTGCGATGAAAATATTTGTATATGGTTAAGTATAGTAACCTGCTTATCTATATTACAACATTTGTATGATAGAAATAACTGAAATATAATAAATATAATTTAAGAATACTTGAAAAACACAATAAGAAATTTATCAAATTATTCTTGTCTGTCATATTCAATGAAAAATCTTTGAAAGAAAGTTTGCTGCTTAAATATACATGACTTGCTACCCTCTACCTATGCCAGAGCTTGATAAGGCCAAAAATGGAGTACTGTTGTCATATCTCGACGGGTGCTGTCTATACCTCACTCTCCAGACTTGTAGAGTTCAAAAGCGTATCGGAACCATTGTGGGTGACGAATTATTCTCCACCTTTCAACCTCTCACCCACAGGCTAGATGTGACAATCTTCTCGCTGTTCTACCGCTACTTCCAGGGAAGGTGCTCGGGCGAACTATATTTATTGGTCCCGCCGAGGCAAAACTTCACAAGAAGAATACGCCATGCCACTTACATAGTATCAAACCACCCACATTTCCTCCGTATTCCAACGGTGAGAAGTAAGTTCTATTCGAGCAGCTTCTTCCCGCGAACCAATGCCCTGTGGAGCCGACTCCAAACAGGATGTTTCCCCAAACACTA